GCACGCGTCCACCACTGTTCGGATGAGTCCCTGCCTGCTCCGTTCACGACCTCTTCGTCGGCCCTTCGCATCGACGCCGCGACGCAGACGGTGGGGCGGCTGGACCCCGTCCGATGTCCCGTCTGGGCTCCTGCCACCATGCTTCGATGCTCACTCTGCGTGCCTCGCCCGATCTGGAATTTGCTACCGCCACCAGCAGCGAAGGCGATCCTGCGTGCTATTCCTTGACACCGCCTATCGTCCTCGTCTATGTCTGCTATCTATCACACTCTGTGTAGCCTGGAACTCTGCCTGCGTTCCAGGCCTCCTGCCCATCGCTTTCACATGCTCCACGCACCCGAGTAACTCGGAATCATTCGAACGCACTCATCCGCAGGGAGAAGCAGGGAGCACCCGCGGAATGACGCCGTCACGCCAGTCCTGCCATCCGGTTGCGATTTTGACCACCCGGATGTCTCCCAGCCCGTCGTCATATCGCACTCGACGTTCTCCGGGCAATTCCATCACTGATCCCACGACAAGCAGACTATGCACCTGGTAATGTATCGATATTCCCTTCCATCCGTAATGCATGCGTGCGCAGAATTTTCTCTCTTCCTCCGTGTCTCTCGCCACGCTTCGCAGCCTTCTGTCGTCGGCTTTCCTCCATTCTCATCCGCGCACAAAGGCCCCCATCCCGATTTCCGCGGTGCACTCAATTAGGCACCGACCTAATACCACCTCCCTCGGCCCCCGCCGATCCCACACGCTCCGCGCCCAGCAGGGAGGCATCTCCGCGCCACAACTCTCAACCAGCCCCCGCCGCGCCCCAATGTCACTGTCAGGCCGGCGAACGCCCCAGCGTACCTACCGACGAATGTCCATTGCCCAGGACGTCCACCATCAGTCCACCATTCAGACGTGTCTGTGTCCGGTGCTCGCTGATCGTCGCCGCCACCGTGACCTGCCTTCCCTTCGATTCCGCCGGCGCTCCTGGCTTGCGGCCATCCGAGTCGGGCAGCGATCGTGACAGACGTCGGGCGTGACGGCGAGCCCGCGGAGGTTTTGGACAGATGGGGCAGGTGCACCTTGGCGATGCCGGGCGCAGCGGACGTCCGTATTGACGCGACACACTCCCGCAGTACGCCTCTACTTAGCGATTCCTGTACTGTTGCATTCAAGACAGTTATTTGACACCGGCTATAGTGAGCGCTGAGGGTGTGCACCGGTGTGGCTGCCGTAGCCCGCGCTGTGACCTTTTTGCGCATCTGTTGATCGCTAGCGTGTACGACGCGCCGGCCGCGGGCTGTCGATGGTCGGTAGGGTCGTCTCCCGGCCGTCCAGGACGAAGATGAATAAAACATGTTTTACTTTGCTTTTAGTTGATCGTTCATCCAGGGCGTAAAGCGCCGGTGCGCGCGAGACGCGCGTGTACATCCTGCTAGTCTTTGATGACACCCGCTGAGCGGTTTCTACGTACCGGTGAGTGAGCCTCATCGATTTGCTTCTCGTCGGCTTGACTGTCCAGTCATGATGGCCTGTGTACGATGATGTTCGTCCACGCTTCATGCTGGCTGGTCACTGATCGAAATCTACCTTGCTGTAATCACAGAGGGCGGCTGCGCAGTGTCATGTAGCCTACTACGGGCTCGTCCTTCCGAACCGCGTCGGACTCGTAGAGGTCCGCAGGATGCAAAGCGCGGCTTCAGAGTGGCATCAAGCACGGCCGGCACGGCAACGGAACGAATTTGGTGATGGCGCCCACAACGCGATTTAGGCTGGCTTGAGCGCCCGCTAGCTCTCCGCGCGCGCGATCCCATCGAGCCCTCGCAACGTCCCGGTCTGGGGAGCGTGCCGCTCTGTGCGACGAGAATGCGCGTTGCAAGGGCGACTCGGAGCGGTTGCATGCCCAGCGAGAGCACGCCAAGGTACGAGAGGTCCTGGCAGGTACCCAGCTGCCTAATTTGCCGGCGATGAATAAGATCTCATCTGACATCGGGCGTAAGGATCGGGGACTCTCGTCCACGTGCACGAGGCCGGTGCGCGACGCGTTGACTGCGCCGCGGTCGGCGCGCAGGCGCTTGACGGAGTGCAGCGTGCCGTACCGTGACGGCGCGTTCGAGGTGTACGAGTGTATACGCGTCAGATTGCACGGGGAACACGTATGTACGCGGCTGCGGTTGTCGACGGACGTTCGTATGACTGCGACGGCTCCCTTCGAGGACGTTCGCCCAGGTGCTAGTAGGGGCCCCCGCTCAGCAAGGGCTTCGCTCGGAGTCTTGCTAATACTGCAACTCGGTCACCGTCAGCTCGCACTCAAGCTGAGCAATCATCCCCACCCACTCATTGAACCATCCCGAACCCCCCTCGCGCATCGGGTCCAACGATTGCGACTTGTTCGTCGATTACTCATCCTCCTCGAGTGAGACCATCTCCCGCCCCGCCCTGTGATCGCCCAGACCGGTCACAAATCCGAGATGGGGATTCGCAGTTTGTTTGTCAGCCGTGGCGCCTGCGCGGAATGGGCGGCTAAGCGATCTAGATACGAATTGTAGGAAGGCGCGCGGGCGCTTGACGGTACCCGACATAGCGTCCTTTTTGCTGGTGTTGGACGATACGCCCAGGCCTGTTACTATGCATAAGACCGGAGAGCGTCAACTATTAACTAGTCCATCCGGAAATGAGATCCTGTCTTTGATAATTATCGATGAACGGCGAACTGATCCACCCCGAGGCGGGATCGTTAGTAGGTACTGGTTATCTACCTTGGTCTCCTCGGTGAGAGCATCTCAACAATCGAACCAACCACACTGTGATCACACACTCAATCTGTCAAATACGGTGTTTACGGGCATACGTGTGACATTCGTGATATGAAAGACATACAATATTAGTGGATTACTTGATGAGTGGAACACGGCGAGGACGAGTAAACCACGCCCTCGCAAGAATGGAGAGTGTCCGCACGACTGTGCACCGATCTACAGGAACCTACACCACACCGGCACTGATCGCTTCATGCGTCCGCCTGAGAACGATTGCCTCCATCAACCTGAATGAGGGGCTACAGTCTCGACCGTGTCACCCGCCCATCACCCCACCCGGGTCCACCACCCACCAGCAACCCCACAGCGACACCATCAGCCGTCAGCCCTGGCCGAAGCACACTCCTATCTCGTCGGACGCACACCACGTCGTCCCTCGTTGCAGCATCCCGCCGCCGACCGCAGGCCCAGAATCCGCGAAAACGCCGCCTGGCCCACTCAGGGCGCGGAAGAGTTCGGCGCAGTCCCCGGAGCAGGTGTCGCACCCGCACTCCCCGTGGGCGCGGTCTCCTTCGCCTTGCCCTTGTTCGTCTTGCTGCCCTTCGGTCGCCCGCGCGGACGCTTGCCCGACGGTTGACCGTCCGCGCCTGAGGTGTCCTCTGCCGCGCGCTTGTTGGATGTGTTTCCCTTCTCGGTCTGGAGGCGGAGCTCCTTGAGGTACCTGCACAGCAAGACGTCAGCTTGACGGGCCTCCGCGATCGACTCGGAACGAGCCGTTGTGTGGTAATGGGATGTCAAAGGCGAGATGGTAAGAGCATTGACAGTGAGAAGAGAAGCAGGTACGGGTGGAGTGCAGAGGGGAGGAGTGCACCGGGAGAAAGGACAGTGATACGAAATGAACGTGCGGAGCGATCGACTGAATGGACACTGACTGCGTTGATTTCTCTTCTAATGTTTGTTGCAGGCTAGGCAGGGGCGCCTGGCCGAGCTCTTGCCGCAGTCTGTCGACGTCCGCTTTCGCGGTGGCGTATTCGGTGTCGCTGAGGGCCTGGATCTTCTGACGCAGGTCCGCGCATCTGTGGTGGGGTGTGAAAGTCAATATCTGACATGACATTTGGGGGATCTGCCACTGCGATTTTGTGACAGACAGCGAAGGGCGGCGGACAACAACATAGGTGTTTGGGGATGCTATCAAAAGGCAGAAAATGGATGGGGTGCAAGGGAGGTGGTACGCACTCCTTGTTCAGCGTCGCTTCCATCAGGTCCGCCTGACGGATCGGAGTGAGTTACATAGTTTCAAGGCACATATTGGACGTTGGACCTTGTCTCGATCTTCGTTCACCTACAGAATCGGTGGGATTTCAATGCGGCGTGGACAGGCATGGCATCGAAGTGCTAACCTCGCGAAGACAGTTCAGCAATCTAGCCCTTTCACTCTCCAATCTATTCAATGGCAGTCATGAAACACTGACAACTGCGAGATCTGAATAACAGCAACGCACTTGTTCTTCTGCTCTTTGACATCTTGAATGGCCTTCTGCTTCTGGTCTAGCGATGCATGCGCCGACAGTATATGCGCCGTGTGGAGCTGTAGGGTGAGCGCATGTTTCCTGCGTGACAATGGCGGTTAGGACCTTGCTGCGACATCGGGGGTGTAAGTCGGGGACCGCGGTAGCTCAGACCGCGTGTGCGCAGACGGCGGGCGAAGTCACGACCGGACGAGCAGTGGCACTCGCATACTCGGAAGACGCGAAAGCACCGTGCGCCGGACCAGGATGCGCACGGATCACGCAGTCAACGCCGCACCAGTCTTCAGGATTGATCGCGACGGCGAACGTCCCACCGGTGTCGAGCGGGCATGAACGCATCCCGTATGGACCCGTCGCACACATCGACCGGGCATAGATCGTCCGAGGACACAACCGGGCAGGATGCAAAGATGGCATGCGATACGTACTTGAGCTCGGCAGTTTTCGCGAGCTGGACGAGGTTCTTGGTCCAGTCGCCGCTGGCGAGGAGAGGCTGGGAGGAGGAGGTCGCAGAGGAGGACGCTGCAGCCGCGCCGGTCGCCATCGCACGCGGGTCGGTGAGATTTGCTGGGAGAGCGGACGAGGGTTTCTGGGGTGACTGCACGCAGGGGCCCTCCGGTCACCGTGCCCCCGCAATTTCTCCCTCCATCGTGATTGGCCCGGGAAGAACCGGATTGCCCTTTTGGGCAGGTCAGTCCTCGTTGGCCTTGTTCGACGTTACTTTCAACGTTCCGCTCAATATGTCGGTCTGTCTCAACCATGTACTCGCGCAATGTCTGCGTTGACTTCTTGGCATGCAACTGCACATCTCACTGGCTTATCTTCCTGTGGAACCCGACCTTGGCTGTATTACTGCATGTCGAATCTAATCCCGAGGATCCGAGTCTCCACTCGCGCCGAGTATCAGTAGCCCGCTCTCCGAGGGCCCGCGATGCCGAGCAGTCAGATCTTCTCGTGTGGGTGAAAGGGGACGTTTAACAACATTGACGAACAGTACGAGGGAAGTCATGTTAGGTATGTAACAGATATTCTTGGTGCTACGTTCGGAACGAGACTACGCTCATGCTTGTCATTGAAGGAGGATAGACAGAAATGCGACATTGATCGAAATGAGACTTGAGCCCTTCTGCGCAGAGCGATCGAAGCGAGTTCTCGAAATTAACGTGCCTCGATGGCCCGTGGCTGCCACGTTACTAAATGGCACGCCGCGCCCTCATCTCGGTAAGCACGTTCACTAGCAAATCCTCCTCGTGAGTAAGATCCCGCGGGCGTGGCTCATTGTTGACAAGCTGCAGCATCGTCTTCTTATCCACGACGTACACGCGCTGGTCGTCGAGGCCTGCCGCCTTGAGGTTGTCTCTCACCGTCTGTTCGGTGTCATGGACATATTCTGCGCATGCCGTCCTCCAGAGCCGCTTTCTCTCGTCGCCCCTGCCATTGCCTCTACCGTTTCCCACCTTGTCGTCCATGCGGTTGCCGATGTGCTGCAGCGCCTTCGAGCGGACGATGTATGCGGGGACGTTCGTCAACTTGCAGCACTTCAAGATAGCGACGTCCGTCTCGGTGAAACGGCTATCGATGAGGAGGACGATGCAGTTGAACATGTACAGACCCTGCCTCCGGAAGTACTGCGCCGCAGGTTGGTTCAGCGTCCCCGCGCCGGGGATGTCATACCACACGAACGGGTACCACCCGAGCGGGTTATCCGGCAGGTTGGGGTGGTCATACCGCGCGAAGACTCTCGTCGTCTCAGACGTTCCCACTGGCGCTGCGCCGGGGTCGTTGTTGTTCAAGCCGCGGATCGCGTTGATCAGGGAAGACTTGCCGCTGCCCGCCGGGCCAGCGATGGCGATGTGGATAAAGCCTTCCTTATATCCTAGGCGACGCCTCGTCTCCGCGATTTCGCGTGTATTGCGGAAGGTCATGAACAGACTGTTATCGTCCCGCTCAGTGCGCTCTCTTCTGAGCTGCTCCTCGAGCTGCCGAAGGCGCTCTTCCGCATCTCGCATGGCTGGGTTCCTGCGCAGGGCGTCCGCGTTCGCCGTGCCTGCGATGCCAACGGTAGCTGCTGTGGCCGCGATGCCCATCATGGCGATTGCGCCTTCTGCGATGAGAGACGCGTGGGATATGCGCGGCGGGAGTGTCGGCAACGATACTCAAGTAACAGGAGATGCCTTACGGCCAGCCAACAGCAATGATACGAGAGACGGCGGGGGAGGGGGAGGGGCCGCCCAGGGAGGCAAACTTGCAGCCGCACCCATGATGCGGTTTGCACAGACTACGAAGTGGACTGGAGTATGCGACTTTGTAAGGATGGCCCGCCGGACGCTGGGAGTTGGCGTTGTCCGCGACAGAGGGGTGCACAGTGGGGAGAAGTATCAGAGTCCCGCGTATTATATGGTCTGGATTGTGGGTCTGGGTTGTGGGATAGAAGCAGTTCATGCAGTAAGGTTTATTCTCCACGTTCGACTCAAGCTGATCATTGCCTCCTTGCTCCTCACAGGCGGTTCAGAACTCACAAGGAACGGTCACGTGGTTTAGAGGTACTATTTCTGGGACGCGTTCATTCTTCTCCTGACGCGACTCGTCAGCTCTCCGGGTGATCAGGATCAATCCAGACCATTATAACCCGTTACAAGTTAGAAAAGGATTGTCATCAAATCCCGGCGAGCCCCGAGTCAGTCCAATGATCTCGACGATATACGGCGGCCGAGCAGAAGCGCAGGTCAGTAACAGTCTTGGCAGCGCACCCGGTCGTGGAGGGAGAGGATCTCTAGCACACATGTGCACCCCCATCGTGTCGTCCATCTAGGCATCCCGGCGGATGAAAACGTTATCTCAGCTGCAGTGCTCAAGCTCAAGTGACTAGTATATAGGGGCACTCCACACATGTCAGGAGTGGCATTCACGGTCCAGCCCTCCAAGCTTGATACGCCCATTTCATAGTTTAGCAATAGCAGCCCTCAAGCACCTCGACGTCGGGGAAGGACTCGGACAGTCGCAATGCTCTTCGGCCATGATTACTGTGGCATCCCCTCGGTGTCGCTTCCGCGCTGCCGGTCTCGTTCGCCTCCATGCAGGCATCTTCTAGCTGTGCCCGAGGCAGGCCAGCACTTCCCCGTGTATGCACACGGTGTTTCGAGATGATGTATTGTTTGCCAAGAAGCTGCTTGGGCCCTACACTTGAAGTGAGTACCGGTTGTCCGCCCTGTCGCTATCGAAGCCAACGCTCATCCGCTGACAGGACGTTTCGTGATCTGAACGATGAGAGGAAGAGATTGCGGGCTTTCGATGCTGCTCCAGCCTTCGTCGCTCACCAGGCATCTCTAGGCCTCCCGCCGACTCTGGAGGCCGCCTCTTCGAAGGCTTCATCGAGATCCACGCGTGCACCGTGCACTTGGCCCTCGGCACTGCGCTGCGTCACCAGCGCAGAGAGTATTAGTAGGTCCAATGAGTCGAATGGACTGTACTATCGGTCGTATCACTGCAGGGCATGTTCGTCTACTAGTAAGTATACACTGATCGTCATAGCGAGCCTCAAACCTACAACCTTGATGGTGGTACAACACAAGCAACAGGAAGAAAAAAGCTATCTATGCACTGGGATACGATGACCGGCGTGGCGGATATGACGGTCACGTGTGAAGCGAGGCGTACCAGCAGCCCGCCTCATTATTACTGAGTGAGCTTGGATGGTCAGCTGCAAGAGAGCGAGAGGGGAATGATTGGCGGTGTGGGGCGCAGCCCGCAGGGCTGCCCGACTCGAAGAGTGTGCCTGGACCTGAGGGGCAACGGGTGAGCCGCGATACCCAATATGAAGACGTCGAGTACGGCGGCGCGTTGCGGCGAAGCCGTTACCCCCAGTCCAGAAGCCGACGAGCCTCGTCGTACATGCTCTGTGAGCCAGTGTCCAACACTGATGACGCCAATGACCCGTATTGCTGATCAACTGGTTCGCAGAGTCCCGCCGGATGGGCGCCGCGAAGCAAACATCGCTCCGCTGACCCTAGGAGGAGCAGTGCCGTGTCGTGCTCATCGAACCCGGTGTGTCCAGCCTGACTCGTGTGCAGTGGATGACACGAGTTCGTTACGCTCGTGCCGACACGAGCCAGTGCCAGTGTAAGCGTGCTGCTGCTGCATGCTCCTGACTCGTGTGCAGTGAATGACACGAGCGTGTTATGCTCGTGCCGACACGAGCCAGTGTAAGCGTGCTGCGTCCAGCCCGACCCGTGTGTGACACTCGCTGGCTATGAGCTCGTGCTGACACGAGCCGGTGTAAGCATACTGCGTCCAGCCTGACCCGGTGTGACACTCGCTGGCTATGAGCTCGTGCTGACGCGAGCCAGTATAAGCCTGCTGCGTCCAGCCTGACTCGTGTGTGACACTCGCTGGCTATGAGCTCGTGCTGACACGAGCCAGTGAAGCATACTGCGTCCAGTGTAAGCATGTTGCCTCCAGCCTGACTCGCGTGTGCATGACACGAGCTAGCGATGCTCGTGCCGACGCGAGCCAGTGTAAGCGTGTTGCGTGCAGCATGAAAGAAACTCAGCGGGTTGGTCCCGCCCGGCGACCAGTGAGCGAGAGCGCTGGTGACGGAGCACTGGGCGGCGGTCGAAGGACTCGGAGTCGGACAGTCCACAATGGCAACCGCTGCTCGCTCAGCTGGATGCTCATGTCGGACGAGCTTGCGAGACAGAGACTACGACTCTGTGTTGACCATCCTCCACGCATTTGTGAGTGGTACAATCATTTGGTCGTTGCTCACATAATCCGGCTCTTCGTCGCCATCGGGATTGATGAGCGAAGGTTGTACCATAGTCCCCTTCCTGTAAGCTACAAGTGGTGTAGTCTTAGTGGAAGAAAACGAGAGCTATTCGAAGGCGTAGCAGCCGCGGAGCCTTCGAGAGCGGTCGTCCGAGCGGGCGCGCAGAGGAGAGCGATGCGCGCCTAAATCTCCTCCTGCATGCGTAGACTCACTTCTACGCGACGCTCGTGCCTCGCTTCGCTTAGAATACCAGCCCTTCAGCGTCACGTGCTATCGTACACGAATAACGCAGTATTCTGAACTTCAGGTAGCTACGTATGAATCATGCGACGTCTGTGAGATGACTATTTGTTGATACGCCTGTCCACCATCTCCTTGACCGCGTCGAGCAGCAACTCCCTCTCGTGAATCATGTGCTCCGGGTTCTGCACTCCCAACGCTACCTGAAGCGTTGACGCCTTGTCCACGATGTACACGCGCTGGTCATCAAGTCCCGCCGCTTGAGGTTGTTCTTCACGGTCTGTTCCGTGTCCTCGATGTACTGGGCGCGTGCTTTCGTCCAGCGCGCTCCGTTCTCCTCATCATCGTCATCGTCCGCTGAAGTCGCCGTGTCATCCATGATGTTCTTGATGTGCTGAAGCGCCTTCGAGCGAACGATGTATATGGGATATTCATC